GTTCAGCTCCTCCTTCTCTGCTTTCAGGGATGTGTTCTGCTCCTTCAGCTCTGACACCAGCTACAGAGGTAATCAAATATTTGACTCAGAACGCAGCTCATATTTCATCAGTAGTTTAAACAGCAACTATATCCTTGTTGTAAGACTTCAAATATTTAAACTTTTCCTCAGAGAATGAAATCAGTGAATTGTTATTTCTTCATTTCTGAATTATGTCCCACAGCAGATTCCTCTCTATGTTCTGCACTCCATTTCTGATCAGGTGCCCAAAGCCACCTGAACCACTCCACTGTGCTGTAATATTTGTCAGTTAAGTCTCAAAGATGTAACTTATTCCTTAAAATAGAAATATTCCTAAAATAGGAACAATTTTGGCTGTTCTGTTGTATGTTCCATTGCATTGGGTAATGCTATTATATAAAACATCTTGCCTTAGACCAAAAGTTGTGCCATTTTAATGATGCTCAGGTTAACCAGAGACAAATGAGTAACTGGCAATGTTTACTACATGTTCCTTTTTCTTAATCAATTAATATTTTCCCTTATGCTTCTCTGATCTTGAAATGTATCACTGCAGTACTTGAAACTTGCACCATTATCAAGTACTCTTGACAGACAACAACCTGATTGATACGTTTGTTGTTAAAACAAGGATAAGGGGTTAGTCAAAACCTGTTGAACTAGACTGTGCACACACAAATGTGCAGGCTAATTGTTTAAATTAGGTAGGATACAAGGAGGAACCTTTGAATATGGTGTATGGGACAGATTTCTAGTATCTATGTGATTACACTCTCCAGGTAGGTAAAATTATTTCTTTTTATGAATGCACAACCTCTGACTTAATGGAGGAAGCTTAAGTACTTGGATTTGCAAATACTTTCAATATAAAAATCTGAACAGATTGAATACATATATTTACATACAATATAGACTTAGTATATTCCTCTACCATAGGTGTAGTTATTTAGCTATCAAGCATATTTAGGAATGCAGAGGTATAACATTGCTTAAAAATACTATAAATATCAGCCACACAAATGAAGCAGTTAAAGCCTGAGCAAAGCCTGAGTGGACACCAGGTCCCTATAAATCTTCTCATGCATCTGAGACTGCACACTTGCCTGCTCAGTTTCATGTTTGTATTTGTCTGCCCGTTCCTCAATGGTCTTCTTCTCAGACTGAGTTTGCTGCAGCTCCTTCTGGAGCTTGGCAATCTCCTCCTGAAGGCTGAGGACACGGTTGGTCGCGTTCTTCGCCTCCTCCTCACTCATCCGAAGCCTTTCCACGTCGCTCCGCAGCTTCTCTGTCTCCGTAGTGTATGTGATCTCCAGGTTGCTCAGCTTCTCCAGCAGAGATTTGTACTCTTTGTTCTTTGCAAAAAAACAACACAGAGCAGCTGTTGGAAAAGTTCTGGTTTAAGGGAGCCTTCTAGCTCCCTACAGAATATGCCCAGACATGGGAGCAAAAGAGCAGCTTCCCCATTTCCAAAAAGTTTCACTCTGGTTTTGCAGAATTGCTTCATGAGGTGGCAGAAGAGTCCAGTCCCTGAGCCTGCACACTAACAACCCAAACTAGAACCAGACAGGGAGCCCACACATCAAACATGATCACATCACCTTCCCCTTAAACAGAGCAACTGACATGCTTCAAATGAAACACTGACATCAAAGCAGCAGAATTTTTTCTCAGTGCTGCTAAGAGGCACAAATGGACATTTTACTGTTTCACTTCTACTGTGGCCTGCCCCACTCTTCTACCACTGTTGGTCATCAGGAAAGAGAACTGATACCTCACAAAGAAAACCCACCATGTCTCCCTGTGAGCGCCCACAGCACTCACACCCCAGACTCTCCCCACAGTACTCTAGAGAAAGGTAATACAAGATTTCTAAAGATTTCCCCTGAGGCCAGGGAGCTTTTACCTGCTCATCAATTTTTCGCTGCAGCTGCATGATCTTGTTCTCCAAGCCAATGTGAAGCTTCTTGTAGCGTTCTACAGAACGGGCCTCTATCTTCAGCTTCTTCAGCTCCCTCTTGGCCATCATGCGCCGGTAGCAGCATTGCAAGTAAACAATGGCCTTCAAGACCCTGTGGTAGTGCAGCCGAGCAAGCCAGCCCCTCACATGCTTCTGGATAACGATAGACTTGTGCTCCCGAAGCATCTGCAGTGAAAACACCACAAGGAAAGGGGTATTAGAGTTGCAAACTACATCTGCTCACTCAGGCAGGCTCCGTCATGAGAGGTGGAAAGTTGATGCAGACACAGAGACACCTCAGCCTGAAAAGAAAAGCTTCTGGTGAAGAGCAACTAGAAATTGATATGGAATTAATTGAAACAAACAAACAACCAAAAAAGCAAACAGGAAAAGATGACAGGGAATAAAATGAAAAGAAACCAGAAGGAAAAACATGGAAAGAACTGGAAACACACTGAAGAATCAGGCATTCCTTTGTGTTGATGTCAGATCCAAGCTAATTACAACAATATATGGTACCTGTTGGCAAGATTACAAATACAATCTTTCCCACCCCATCCCCCGCATCTTTTATCCTGAAACACCTCAGCATCAGAGACACATGCTGCATAGGATTCAGCAATACCAAGCTTCAAATTACCACCTTTGATATGCAGTGCAGCCAGTACACAGTAAAACCCAGAGTAAATTGCAGCAGCTGTTAAAAACAGCAGCTGTAGTCTAGCTGAGCAAACAACAGTTTTCAGACAGTTTTCTCCCCTTTCTTTTTTAACCTTTTTGGACACAGACTTGCCACTATCAAAAATATCTCCATTTATTCTCATCAAAATTTTTGTATTATAGTAACTCCAACTTACTTCATGGCAGAAATTTCACCCATAGTTTTGAAGTTTAAGAAAACAGTTAATATTTTTATAAAAAATAATTTTAATGATGAACAGTCAAGAATGAGACTTGAAATACCAGCACTTGGTCAAACAGCACAATGTGGAAAAGGAAAAGCTCTCTCAAATGTATTGCAAGCCAAAGTCCTTCTGACTGCATGCCATGCAGTTAGCATTCCTGCCTTCTTTCACATTTCCTGGAACAGCCCTTCAGGTTACCCCTGGGTACCCAAACAGCTCGAATACAACCAGCTCTCAACAACATTTTCACCTCAAGTTTGAAAGCAACAAGTCCCATAAAATACCTCCATCGTGCAGGGAAGGTCCTCATCTGCCAGGGAATTCTCACACTCATGCGATGCAGAGAGGGAACAGGCCACTCCAGTGTAAGGTGGGAGTATCAGAAAAGTTACTTCATTTACCAGGTATTTCCCAGGAAAACTTATGTAAAGGCTGTGGAGGAACTAAACTCCTTGCTAAGCCGAGAAGAACATCACAATGTCTTGGGCAGAAGCTTTCTCCAGGATGTGTGAAATAGATGATTCAGCCATTTAAATTCCTTGCATTAGTCATGTGACTGCAACACAAGCCCTCTCTTCTAACAACAACAACAGGCACCTTTCACAATCCTCATGAACACCATGTATACCATCTATTACCTACAGTGGCACAGCTCAGGCCAAGTGTGCCATCACAGGGCAACCCTTTGGTTTCACTCATTTGCAATCATCATGAACGTCAGAACCATCATGTTTACTGTCCCATGGCACAGGGAGCCTGTGCTTCTCTCTCTGCCCATCCCTGTGTCTCAGCTTTAATAAAATTCCACCTTAGGAGAACAACATCTCCACAGGATGCTGCAGGTGCACTTGTCAGAACTTCACCTTTTACCACAGTGAATAATTCACTGCTCAAGGGGGATAATTCCTGATGGACAAGTCTGACCACCCCTTACAGGGACCCCTCCAGGTACCTGCCTTCCCTTTTAAGAGGGAATAGAACAGGTTTATACAACTCTGTGCTACAGGACAGCTTTGGTGGGTACCACTCATCTTCAGGCATACAGGATCATTTCTTATTTTCCAACATAAAATACCATTTGTAATAATGAAAATGCTAAGAATTCCAATAAAAAGCCAAGCAGATAACTGCACAAAAAACCAGCCAAGTCAAGCACAGGGATCTTACTCTTTAGAAATTCTTATCAGGGATTACTTGTTTTCAAACTTCCTGGTTAGCACATGTTAGAAAGCTGTCATTTAGACACATTCACATGTGACTGTGTAAGAAACTTTAATACAAATGAAAAATACCTAGAAACTTCAGATACAAAAGAGAAACATGTAGAACAAAAGCACTAGTTGGCTTTTGGCTATTGGCCTTCAATACCTACCTCTTTGAGAAAAAAATAGAACTCTTTCAGCTAATTTTTCGGTGAAATATTAGCTGGCTTTTGAGCCTAGTTAAAACAATTCATGTAGACAAAGATGCCACAAAACATGTTGACATTTCGTAGTCTACCCATTTGAATCATAATCCTGCTTCCAGCCCTGTAACCACTGAAGAATAAATTTTAATTTCTAAACTGAGTTTTTATTTTTTTTATCAAGAATAATCTGGAAAATATTATCAATATCACTAGGACAGAGTTATATCAATATCTCTCCAAAACAAAACCAACATCAATACTTAAGAAATGCTGTGATATTTGTTATGCCTACCAGCACATACACAACCATTTAGATTCCCAAGGGGACACCACAGAGCACCTCTGCCCTGAAGCTATGTGGAAATAAAACTGGAGAAAACATGATGGTTTCTTACCATTTGGTACTTGTTCCTGGCCATGTAACCTCTTAAGAGAGCCTGAAGAGCCACAGTTGCAGCTCGCATGCACTGGTACCTCTTGCGGACCACATACATGCGCTGGAACTTCTGAATTGTGATGGCAGCCCGTGTTCTCCGCAGGAACTTGGCATAGCTAGGCAGTAAAAAGGTTACAAATAATACCTCTAAGTATTTTCCAGTGCCTGAGTACTACTTTTTACTACATACTATGACATTACTCTCTCAACAGCTGCATTTTCTACTTCAGTTTCTCCTGATGTTGCCAGCGATACAGCACATTTGCTTGCTATTCTAACGTAGAGCAGTAGGACAGAATGACAAAATAACAGAAACCTTGCAAGCTCTTACGGAGAAATGTTTTCACTTCCTCTGAGAACTGTGCTATAGAACTGTCAAGAGAAACTCAGCGTAATTTCTCAGCATCTTTTCTCCAGGTTTAAAGCTATTTCCACCATAGAATCACAGGATGGTTAAGACTGGAACGGAACTTAAAGATTATCAGGTTCCAACCCTCCTGCTATGGGCAGGGACACCTCCCACTAGACCAGGCTGCACAAGGCTCCAACCTGGGCTTGAACACCTTCAGAAAAGGGGCTTCTACAAGCTCCCTTGGGCAACCTATTCCAGTCCCTTACTATCCTCATGGTGAAGAATTTCTTCCTGATGTCTAACCTAAATCTGCCCTCTTTCAGTTTAAAACCCTCACCTTGTCCTAACACTACCCTCTCTGATGAAAAGCCCCTCCCCAGCCACCTTCCAGATCTCCTCTCCTAACCTCAACCTGTAGAAAATGTTTGCTTGTTCTTGGCCCTCTCAGCAAGACAATTACAAAGCACCTTGACATAAGCCTCTTTCCAAAGCCTGATTCCTAAAGTCTTCAAAACCACCTTGTCTCTAAACGATACCACCTGTATTCCTACCCTTTTATCTGGCCCTCAGAAGTGAATCCAAACAAATGACTCTGAGGTATCTCCCCTCCTGGCTGCACCCTGGATGAGAAATTGTTGTTCCAGCAGGACAGACAGACCCAGCAAGGAGGGCACACAGAAAACTGGACAATAAGGACCCAGCCAAGAGTCCCACTTTACACTTTTGTACGCTGCTCCCACTAACAACATCCTGTTCTAAGCATCCCACAGCCAGGCTGTTACAGCCCTCTCAGGACAGTCAACACCAGGCAGGACAGACACACGTATTAAATGAAACGTCTTTCACTTCCCTGGAAAATCATTCCCCCTCAGGAAGCACAGGAAGGAGAGAACAAGTGTATCTCATTTCAGTGTCCTACTTAAAGGGATCTGGATGGAGGCTGTGGGTGCTCCCACGAGCACTGCTTACCATCGTGCCTGGTGCCCCCTGACATGTCTCTGGATGGTGACGGCCGCTCTCCTCATGCGCACGAACTTCTGCCGCGCCAGCCACCCCCGGATCGTCTTCTGGATGCGGATGCAGGCAGCTCGCAACTTATCTGCCCTTATTTTTTCCAGATAGGCTACTTGACCAGCCCGGAAAAATATTTTTGTCTTACCAAACTGGTACTTATCCTTGTCCTATTTTCAGAGGTAAAAAGAGAATCGGTTACAGCGTTAAATATTAGTGGATTTAATATAAAAAAATAAAAGGCAGGAAGGGCTAAATGAAGGTACAGTTAGTAAAGAGGCAAAATTAGCTGTATGAAATTTCAAGTAAACCTAGACTGAAATTAAGTAGAGTATGTTTCTGTTAACAAATTAATACAATAAGGCCATAAGCATGGCCTAAAGGAGTAATGTGTGATTTCTGCTTAGACAAGGATGCCACAAAGATGATATGAGACATGCAAGGCTACATGAGGTGATGAAGAAGCCCACAGGATGAAAGCAACACAGGCAATGCACATGTACAAGTTTCTGTTGAAATTGTAGATAAGCCCTCTGAACAGTCCATCTTCAACCACAGTACAAAGTATGAACAAAACAGCTGAGGCTTCAAATGTGTTTGCAGTGTTTCCTGCACCAGGACTAAGCCAGAACAAAGCATCTCACTGCTGCTCAAACACATCTGAAATTTCAGAACTAAACCAGAAAGAGAACAATGTTCTGTCTCTGTAGGCTGCAGTACTCCTTGGAGGGAAGAACTGAGAACATACAAAGACACATTGACCAAAATGAATTTTGTTCATTGTTCGGTATTAAGTTAAAAGGAATAGAAAAGAGCTTAGGATACATTTAACACTACACATTAACACTATAAATACAGACACATTCATACAAACCAAAAGATTTTAGTTAAGTCCACCCAATGACACAGAACTTAAAAAGCCAAGTCCCAATCTGCCTGTATTCATTTTTTTCTTTCCATAAACATCCTAACCTTGGCACTGCACTTCAGCAAAGTAAGCTTTCTTGCTTTTTTATCTTCAGTAAACTCTCTTTCTCTTCCTGACACATCTCCACTAACCACCTTCTCCTGAGAACTGGCTGGAAGTGTCTCTCTGGAGCCTGCCTGCCCTCCGCTGCTTGTGGCTTCTTAAGAAATCCCTGGAATTACTTCCAGACAGGTGCAAGACCCAGGTGTTGCCTGGGAAGGTAGGGCAACTGGAGGCAGGAGGCAAAGGAAGAGGCTGCCAAGGTGCAAGGAGAGCCACAATGTTAAGCAGGGAGACAATGTCACGAGGACAAAAGGAGTGAAAAAGGTTGACTTCAGCACAGGAGCCAAGAGGAACAGTGTGAAAGACACACATACAGACAGACACACCTCCACATCAGAAAACCTCCAGATAACTATACCACCTTGTTTAAGGTGTGGTTAATACATCTTGCTGATAAGCAAGGTAAGGCTCACCCTCCACTCACCCACACTTAAAATCACTGCCTCCCTTTCCTGTGATGCACTGGGGAATTCTACAGTTCCTGTGCCAGTATAAGTGGTTTAGTATTTTGCAGAAGTACTAAAATATTGTGGCTATGAGGGAGTAAGGGAGTAAGGGACCTTATCTTTACTCCCTCAGATTCCAAATGCTCTCAACACTAAGTCTAGTACCAGAATCAGCTTCTCCAGGACATTTTTACACGTCTGCTTTCGGTCACTAAGGACATCTTTCTGCTTCATCAGAACACGGTAACGGCTGAAGAACTCCTGGTATGTCCACCTGTCCCAAAAACAGAGGCAGTGTCAGTCCCAATAACTTACAGTTCTCTTAAAAAGAACTGCAGCTGCAAGCAATCTAAAAAGCAGCAAACACACCTGGAGGGGAAGCCAGCTGCACTGATTCGGATGGTCTCCAAGACACCACAAGCTCTCAGCTGCTGCACTGCCCGCTTCTCATCGAATCTGGGTAGGAATAAAAAGATCCTGTTGGTAGGGAGCTAGTTTGACATTACATAGAACCTCTGGCTCTGGGCACATCCGGGACAGGAGTGGCACGGCGAGGGAGCAGTGGTGAGATGTGATGGGTAGTTAGCAAGTCCAGCTAGTGCTTTTGGAACTCAGCAACAAGACAGGACAGCCTGACTGGGGAACTGTCCATCAACTGCTGGGAATTGCTTGTCCTGCTTCCCACTGACCTGTACCACAGCCATGGGAGTCTTTGTATGCCTGGATTTTAAGCAGAATTTTGAGAAAAGCTCTAAATAAATTAATACATTAAAAAAATATATAACGAATAAGATGCGGGAATCTGCAAAAGCAAATTCCAGCAAATGTCTTCAAGGAGCACAATCTGCCACTTACATTTCAAACAGCCAGAAATGAGAATGCTGGCTTTTTTCTCATATATCACCATAAGGAGAAAACAAAAAAAGCATCAGGAAGTATTTAACCCTCCATTCTTCCCAAAACATCTCCTGCTGCAAGCACCCATAGACACAGACAATGAGTCTAACATTTTACATCTCTTGTCTTTGGGAAGCCTGACTTCCCAAAACATCCTGACAAGAGAAAGGAGACACCCCACTCCTGAGTGAGCAAGGTTCAGCA